GAGAGCCTGGTGGGCTACAGTCCATGGGGTCGCAAAGAGTCAGACACGGCTGAGCGACTTCCACTCACTCAGTCCTTTAGGATGGGCTTCCCTGGGTGGCTCATATGGTAAAGAATCTACCTGCAATGTGGGAGACCCGGGTTCGATCCCTGGGTTGAGACGATCCCCTGGAGAAGGAAATGTGAACCCACTCCAGTATTCTTGCCTGGAGAATCCCATGGACAGAGGAGCCTGGCAGGCTACAGTCCATGGGGTCATAAAGAGTCAGACTCGACTGAGCGAGTAACAGCTGGATTAACTGGTTTGATCTCCTTGCAGTCCAGGGTTCTCTCCATTCTTCTCCAGCATACCACTCTACTTTAGGAGCTCATAACCTGGTGATAGACGCAGTTACAGTAACAAGCTTGCAAAGGAAACAGTGGAAAGGGGCAAGGTAAGTTTGCTACTAGATGTAGCCCCCTGAACCGAATCTTGATAGAGAAGGGCATAGCCAGATACCAGGGTAGTCCACCCTAAGAAAGTTTCAATGCAAATGCATAGTTGATAATGCTGCTGCTAATAATAATAGCTAAGAGTTAACAAATTACGTGCCAGACAACATACAAGCTCTTTGAGTGTGTTAGCTCATTTAATCCACACAACCACCTTAATTTTCCAAAGTTCACACAGCTTATGTGAAGTCAAGACAGCATTCAACTTAAGGCAGTCAAACACCAGAACTTGTGTGCACGCTGTCGATTCAGTCCTGTGTGACTCTTTGCGACCCTGTGCACTGTAGCCTGCCAGGCTCCTCTGTCCATGAGGATTCTCCGGGCAAGAATACTGGAGTGGGTTGCCATGCCCTCCTCCAGGGGATCTTCTCAACCCAGTGATTGAACCCACGTCTCCTGTGGCTCCTGCATTGTAGGTGGATTCTTTACTGCCAAGCCACCAAAGAAGCTCCTAACACTAGTATGTTCTTTTAACTGTTAGGCTGGGTGACAAATCAAGTGGTTTACTGTTGATTGTAGCTGGGGTGATTAAATTGAAGAGTAAGGTGAAGGTCAGATGATGGCTAGCTAAGTAGTTTGTATTTTGACATGAAGGTAATGGAGTAGTCACTGCAGGACAATTTTGTGGTCACAAGTGTCTTTAGAAAAAGCCCAGAGGTAAAAGGAAGGAGGATGAAAGGCAGTGAAACCAGTTTAGGAGGTTACTGCAGGTAATCCAGGAACTGAGTTACAGGGGCAGCTGCAGTCGAATGATGTGTTTGAGAAACAATTAGATAAAAACAGATTTGAGTGACCAACTGAACCAATTTGATAAGATGACGAAGGAGTCTAGGATATTGCAAGTGTTTCCACCTTCTGGCTCTTTTTTAAAAAAATTATGTATATAGTTGCATCAGTTCTTAGTTACAGCACTATGGGATTTTCATCACATCCTGTGAGATCTTTTATTGCAGCACTTGGACGCTCTAGTTGTGGCTCGAAGGCTTTAGTTGCTCTGGCATGTGGGATCGTGGCTCCCCAACCAGGGATCAAACCCACATCCCCCTGCATTGCAAGGTGAATTCTTAACCACTGGACCACCAGGGAGGTCCCTTTCGGTTCTTTTTTACTGAGTTAAGATGCCAATAGGATATCCTGGTGAGGTATCCATGAGATAGTAGGAAGAATGAGTCTGAAACTAGAGGAAGGAGTAAGCTATAGCTACAGAGTTGAGAGTCATCAGTTTGGCATATAACTGAAGTCCAAGAAATGTGAAAAGAGAAGCCTAAGGGTGCTGCAGAAACAGAAAATAATTTTCCCTAACTGAACACATCCAGAGCAGAGCCTTAGTAACGATATTCCTTTCTCATGTGCTACCAGAACAGTGTGATGGCTTTAGACCCAAAGAGACAAAAGTTTCTGTAATAAACCCCGAGTACTTATTATTTTGTGGCCATAGACAAGTGGCTAACCTCTGTGAACTCCAGCTTTCTTGTCTGTGAGAACTGAAGAATACCTACTTTCTAGGATTGAGAAAGTTTTAATAGTAGATGATGTACATAAAGAACTAGAATATAAGGTGCTCAGTAAAAGATTTTAAAAACAGTAGTATGTTAGGGCTGCCATATCAAAATGCTACAAACTAGGTGCTTAACAGAAATTTATTTCACAGCTCTGAAATAAAGACTGGCAATCCAAGATCAAGGTGTCAGCCGGTTTGGTTTCTGCTCGGGCCTCTCTCCCTGGTTTGTGGAGAACACCTTCCCACCGTGTCCTCACGTGGCCTTTTGCTTGCGCACCCATGCGCACATACATAAGCATGTTCACTCCTGATGCCCCTTCCCCTTCTTCTGAGGACACCAGCTCTATTGGATTAGGGCCCACCCTCATTCCCTCATTTAACCTCAGTCACCTCCTTAAAAGTCCTGTCTCCAAATATGGTCCCACTGGGGATCAGGGCTTCCACCTGAGTTTGGAGGCACACAATTCAGTACATAACAGGGGAATTACTATTATTCTCAAGGTTCACCCTGGTTTTGCCCAAGAAGCAAATAGGAAGACTCTCAACTAAGGCAGTTTTGGTAAATATTAAGTGGCGGAGAGGATTTATGAAAACAAGGCCTAAGAAATCTACGGATTCCCAAGAGGCAAGATAAAAAGAGGGATTATAAAGGTTAAATCTGATAAACATGTTTTGTTGTTTGTTTTCCATCTGTTTCTCCATGCCAACTCTAAACTGTTCTTCACCCTGCTCAGTTCAAGGAAACACCCACAAGAACTGGATCAATAGGATTCTTTGTTGGAGCTTGTTGGAGATAAAGGGTAAAAGAGAGGAAGACCGGGTTATTCTCACAACTCCCATCCAGCTTTGTTGCCGCAGGCCACAGCTCCTGGACAGAGGCTCTTCATACCGTTGCCCTTCGGGAGTTCCTATAACTACTGTGTTCCATGGTCCCTTCAGGGCTGGAAGTACAAATCACTGCCTGTTGGTAGAACTCCTAGCCACTGAGGCTGTCCTTGGAGAAACACACTGTGTAAGGGATCTTCACAATCAGGAGATGCAGGTCAGGTGATGGTTATCCCTACTGTACTGCTGACAAGCCTGCCTGTCAGGGCAGTACGTAACTCATTCCATTACACAGTTAGGCACTGCTTAGCCCTGTCAGGGTCACAGTCAACATTATACTGAAACAGACTTTATATATGTCCATGGAAGCATTTAGCAGACACAATTACAAAGTGATGCCCTAAAGGGTGACTTTTTCTCATCTATATTTTCTAAATTTCTTTAATAATTATAAATAGTCTATGTAATAATAAAACAAGAGAGAGCACAGCAAGAAAAAAAAATCCTACACAAGAGTTCTACAAAAAAGTTCCAGGTTTCTTCCTTGTCCAATTAGTAAGAACTAAGACAGAAATAATATTCACAGTTAATTGGTCTTCCGGTGTCATTTAACAAATAATGCATAATTTCATTAAGTAAAATAAGATTTTAGTGGATGGAATTTTCCCAAAAGATGATACTAATTTTCTTCTAAATTTGTATATGCCACCCTGAAAACCTTGTTTCCTAGAATTTTCATTAAAAAAAAAAAACCTACAGACCCAAAAACCTCTGCAAGAATGACTTGTTATTATTCTTCTCTTTCCATTCCTGAGATTAGCATATTCAGAAATCTCAAATATGCTGCATATAATGTGGGACACCCTGATTTGATTCCTGGGTGGGGAAGATCCGCTGGAGAAGGGATAGGGTACCCACTCCAGTATTCTTGGGCTTCCTTTGTGGCTCAGCTGGTAAAGAATCCGCCTGTGATACGGGAGACCTGGTTGACTTTTTCTCATCTATATTTTCTAAATTTCTTTAATAATTATAAATAGTCTATGTAATAATAAAACAAGAGAGAGCACAGCAAGAAAAAAAAAATCCTACACAAGAGTTCTACAGAAAAGTTCCAGGTTTCTTCCTTGTCCAATTAGTAAGAACTAAGACAGAAATAATATTCACAGTTAATTGGTCTTCCGGTGTCATTTAACTAATAATGCATAATTTCATTAAGTAAAATAAG